CAAAAAAATATACGTATTTTGGAAATGTTGAGTCGAATTAGTCTAGAATCGATTAATTTTATGAAAGAAAACCTTTCAAACAGCCGTAGTCCGTAAACTATGATTCCTACAAAATTGATTCATAAAGAACGGAACGTATCTACCGTCTTATAGGGGGATCTACTGTATTTAAAATATCGTAACAGATGGCACCATATACGCAGTTTTAAACGTTGCCGGGAAAGTTACACAACTCGTTGCTGGACTTTTTATTTTACTACCAGGCACCGTTTTATATTGTAATTTACATTGGTAGAAAATCTTAAATTATAGCCTAAGAGTCCGAATACAATTACTGTATAAAAAAATTCATAAAATGGTAAACCGTATTATCTAAGACCGAATCTTCCGTTTTCGTCTTTTTTCTTTTAAATAGAACTCGATATGCATTTTGGCCCTCTTTGGACGTCTGCTCCAAATGTGAGGCCAGTAGCGGGCAAAATAAAATTATCTTCCCATAACATCGGATGTGAACGATTCCTTGCTCTTCTCTGACTCGATTACTTTCACGTTAATTACTAGGACTTAGTCTACGGTATAAACTTTTATATTTTGAGGAAAAAAGATATTTTTACGCCAATGTAAATAAAAATATATTCTTTTCTATTTATCTTACAAAATCCAGCAACGATTGCGAAACTTTCCCGGATGTTATGACATTGTATTTCAAAAATAACTTACATTATTAATCGTAATAAGTAAATTTGTGTGTGCCGCCATCTGTTACCGAGATTTTCTTATAAAAACTTTTTTGCCATTTTATAATATAAAATCTTAATTTTCAGTAATGTGACGAGTTTTATAAGAAAAATTACAAAAAATACCAATATGCGGTAAAATGCCGGTTAAAACCAACTCTTCTCGAGACACGACGCGTGACCCACCTTCTATCTCCCCACCTCGCGACCTTTCCTGACCAAAATTTAATAGCATTCAAGCCACTTATACACAAGCTACCGTAGAAAATTTCGTTTCTTAGTCATTAACCCATCCCAAGATACGAAACGAAATAGTCGCCAACACGAAATTTTTTTCCTTTTTTAACATTTGGGTTCGGAGGTCTCAAAAGATGGAAATTTGCAAAAAACTCTGAGGATAAAATTTGACGCGATTCCCATATTTTCCCTCATTATGTATACGTAACAGCCGAGAAAGTAAAATGTATTTTTACGAATAAAATATCGACATAAATAGAAATGTGTAAGCGCGGCATTATCAACCATTTACGATATTGTAATATTGTTCGGTAACCGACACAAACTAATATGGATTACTAAATTATGGATTAGTTTCTGGCTTTATTATTTAGAAATAATATTAAAAAATATGCGAAATGTTTTAGTTTTCTAAACAAGCCGATAAAATTTATCATAATAATGTGACGTTAACAAATACAGAGTACAGCATTGTTACCTCGTTTTGGAATTAAAAATGCGGTCCTGTAACGTCATTCCACCGACATCGAACTATCTTCTTCTAATGGCTTGAGATAGAAAGGAAAACTGCAATTACCATTTCCAGTCTCGTAGGTCAAAACTTAAATTACATTATCTGGTAACGCGATATATAAAAGAACGAATGAGAATAAAAACTATTTTTAAATTTAGCAATAATATCTCCTCATAATTTTTCATGTTACGTATAAATTTCTTATACTAAAGTTTAAAATTTAACGGGATTCATTTTAATAGAATTATTTGAATTAAAGCTTTGCAAATCAGATATCTGATGCCACTGTAAAAATATTTAAAGAATTTACGGGTCGCGAGATTAACTTTTCACGAAAAAATAGTTTACGAAATCCTCATAAAATAGGTTATAATATAAAATAACGTAAGTACTTAAAGAAAGTAAATCATTAATATTTGTTTGTACGTAACGGGAAAGAGTAAGAAAACAAGATTTTATACATTTGTGACCAGTGATATATTAAGCTTCAATTAGTGATATATTATCTAACGTCGGCGGAAACTTATTCATTGGCTTGGCACACCGAAAAAGAAATCGACCAGGCACTTACCATATTATTGTATTAAATAAATACCCGCTTTTTAAAATATTTTAATTATTTAGCATAAGATTTCTTCGTTAAAGCGGCAAAGACCGGCAATTATTAAGAACCGATTACCGTATTATTATAGACATTTCTGTTTCCCGATCAATGGTACAACTTTCCCGTGAGAGAAGTCGCGGACGATTCGCAAACGAAGGCTTTGACAAGATATTTCGGGTCCGCAGTTTTAGGTAAGTGACCGCGGCCCACTGCCCGAGAAACGTTTCCTGTCGGAATAAGAAAATACTTTCGTTTCAGCCGTGGCCGTATTATTATGGAGTTTCTGGGGAACCATGGACAAACACGTGGTACGTTCTCTTTTAGCGGCGGTAACTCTGCTCCATTTTTTAATTCTACTCGGTAAGTTTTTCTCATTTATACATTAAATCCCAACCGGTCGGTCGAATCGACTCTTTTGTAACGGTGGTGGTGTGGGTATTATTAAACGGCCCGTATTTCACGTTTTGCAAATTGTAACTTTCAGCCTGTTCCATCGGCATGTGGCAGCGAGAGGAGGCAGAACCGGTAGACATCTTGGTGGTGGCAGAATGCCTGGTGGCGGCGACCTCCAGCCTGTACTTCTATTGGGCCATCACCTTCTGTAACGTCCGCATGCGCAAGTCGGCGTCGCATAAGGAGTTGAGGGAGACGATGAGTAGACTCAACTCCTCAGACGGTTCCGCCGCTCAAAACAAAAGCAATTGAAACACCCGCTCGGTGGCCCCAAACTTCTTTTTTACGCCGTGTTTTTCTCCCGGAAGATAGGCCCCGGGTTGGTGGGTTTCCGGAAGGCGCGTCGGCCCCTTACTTTCTCCTACCGGAAATCCCACCCGCCATCCGGCTTTGGCTTTTGTTATTATCGAAATTGGTTTGGCGGCAGGTGGACGGACGTCCTACTTCGGAGCATCCTACGTCTCCCTGGGTAAGACGACCGTCCGATAAATACCATTTCGAAAATAAGGTTAATTTGACGCAGAGAGGTCCCAGTACAAATTCCGCTGGCGGGTTTTCGTTTCGGAAATGTAAATATTGGAAAAGACGCCCCGAATATTCCAAGAAATTTCTGCCAAACCAAACGCGTCTAAGTGTAGCTTGGTGTAAAGTACAATACGTTTATCGGTTAAATTAATTGATGGTTTCGTACTTCTGTCGACCGACGTGTGAACGATTCGTCGTCGGACCTGCTGGATTTATGTCGTGCGTTAAAACGTCGTCTCTATTTTCCGACTCTGTATTTTAATGCCAATTGTAAGTGGATCTTATCAATAAAAACCTGTCCAGTATTCCGTTGTTTGTTTTTCTCCCCGCCGTCCGATTTATCCGGCAAGTTCGGAGCCCGGGTAAAAAGGGCCGTTCGGAAACTCTTATAAACGTCGACTGGGTAATTTACGCCCGATTTCAAGTAGACATAAGCTCACGCAAAGCCCGGTCCGTTTATATCGTTTAAAAAGCCGGAGGTAGTAGCCTATCTTTGCTCCCTGTGGAATATTTCCTACATAAAAACATTAAAAAGTACGAAAGTAAGCATAACCGAAACAACAAGAATTTGAAATAACCACGAATTATATTCTTAAATTACGCAAATTTTGCGCCGTTCGGATTTTCTCGCCTTCGATTATACATTTTTCGGCCGGCCGGCAACGTATCTATTTTCTATTTCGTGCCCGAAATGTATATTTTGCGAAAATCGAAACGAACGTTAACGCAACCGACGCGTTCGTTCCGACTCTTTTGTGAACTACGTTATTATTTCCTTCGTTATTAGAAATTATTATTATTATTTTGTTAACGAGTGTTTCCCACGCGGCACGCGTACTTGGTGCCTAGTGTTAAAGCCCGGTCTTTGGTCCGGCATAAGTTCAGAAAAAGTTTATTGTTTACGCGCCCTTGGCGTAGGTATCCGTGTTTAAGAATCTGTCGACTATGCCACGTCGCGCTATGGAGGGTTCCCCTACTAAACGCGCGTGTAGTGCAATGCCCGCGCCAGGAAGGACCTCACCCGTTCTTTGCAGACGTCCGTGTCTATTATGTGCGTGACTGTTTCCTTTGTCGACCAACGTCGCGTATCTTCCGCGATTACGGCACCAGGGCCATGGCAAAATTTTCGCGAAAAATATCTAGTAACAATACCAATAGCAAAAATAATAATAACCATTATTATTTATGAAAAAGGTTTGTGGAAATATAAGAATTTCTAAATAAAAAGAAGTGTTTGAAGAAATGGATGATTAGAAATTGGTACAAGAAAATCCAATAACTCTATTGTGTTATTCTAAATTTCAAATTGTGATTGTGTATTTTACTTGCACAACATTTAGTAGCTGGCGGAAGCGGAAGTTCACCTTTAGAACAAAAAATACTGGAAAACATTGAAATTGGGAGTCGGAATGGAGAGAGAGACCGAATTTTCTTAAAACGAAGATACACTTCCGAAGACGAGAATTTAAGAGATTCGGATACTATTCCCCGGGCAAGATCGAACCTAAAGAAGAAAACAAATCTACCTCTTTTATCATTTCTTATAATTTACATCACAAGATGCCTGCACAAATTTAGTCTAGTTAATGAAAAGAACCCTTGGGATCAAAAAATTCCGATCCGAAGAATGGTCAATTATCACAAATTTTTATCACCAGAGAGGGCTCGTACCAAAGTTTTAAATTATTTACTGTACTTTCGGTTAATTATAGCAATATTTTATGAAGTGTTTTTATAGCACTTTGGATAAAATAGCTAACCGATGTACTTGACGAGGTTCGATGTTCGGTAACATCGGGAAAAAATAAAGATTGTAATTTTTTTTTTAAGGCAGATATTTCATTTTATAGATTCTGATTATAAGATAGCAAGCATGAAAACATTTCCAAATAGACTAAAAATTCTTTATTCAAATTTATTTATTTATTCTGAAAAATATTTATTTTTGGATCGGTGGAATATTTTAGATAATACAGTAATTCTCTTTCTATTCAAAATTTATCTGAAAGAAATCGTAATAAACCACCTTCAAAACTTCAAAGAATGCCAATGCCAATGACGACAATTATAATTTTCTGAAATTTCTATAAATAAAATAATATCGAGATGATACTTTAATAATTATTGCGCATTTTTACTTTATATTAATTACATAAATATTAAATTCTCTATTGAAATATTTGATCTGGTTGACGCTGATAGAAAGAAGAGAATTTTGTGTGTGTAAAGAAACACTTGAAAATCATCCTACTGAGAAATTTTCATCTATTGACACAACATTTGATAAATCATTCCCAAAGTTTTCTGATTCAAAAAGAAATCCTCGTATTCTGTAATTTAATTGCTGAAATCTGCTATTTCGACGAAAAGCTCTTGGCTACATTACTATTAAGCCAAGAAAATACAGTTAATTTTAAGTCTGCTTACCTTCTTTTTAATTATATTATTGTTTAAGTAATGAGACATAAAATAGACATTTTTAATTCAAATATCTTTGTGTTATTTTTCTTTGTGTCATACAAACTTGTTAAAAACAAATAATGTATGCATTCCATAACAATAGAATACAGTAGAACGAAAGAATGAGAACATTTAACATAAATTCCTAATTATATTGATTTAAGGAAATTACAAGTCTTTTGAATTAAGAATTATTACGTTTCAAAAATATAAGTATAGTTGATAAATATTATCAACTTTCCTTACCTATTTTCTATATGTGTAAATTGAAAATTATTTTTTATAACAAATACGCGCACATCCATCAAGGAGTCAGAGAGAACTTTTCATTCTTAAACAAGCATTTCATACCCAAGCGCTACTATGCTTTGTCTCTGAAATGCATAAATTCAGATTCAAAAGCTTTCTTTATGTAGGCAATGAAGAGACCCAAAGCATACAGTGCTTCCGTCTACCGTATTTATAACAATAAGTTTCTCTCAGATTCTGAGACGTCTGATGGAAAATAACACGTCCTTTACACTCGTACAGATAGTCTGAAAATTTTATCATTAACTAGAATGATTAAAACCTACTGGTGACGTGCTCGGGTTTTTCAGGGGGTGTTGAATTGAGAGAGAGTGATAAAACCAATAGTCCTTGTGTGCGTGTGTAAAAACCTATTTATAACAATGAAAGAAAAAAAATTGCTCGAACTTACGGGACAAAAATAAAAGATCATTCCTATCCTATTGCATAATTTTGGTGGGTCCAAATTTCACAAAAGCATTACTGGTGCTCCAACTTATAGCTCTAGGTTCTGAGGTGGTAGTCCAGCTGGTTCCAAAGACTAAAAATCCACCGGGTACATTACTTGTCTGATCTGTCTCGAAAACGGAATCGATAAACTTGAACGAACTGAATTTGCATATCCAAGTAGAAATCTGAAGTTCTGCTTGGATATGCAAATTCAGTTCGACCAACAATCTATTATCAAGA